CGAGTCCCATGTGCATATTTACAGTAGATTTTATCGTCATATAAAAATTGAAGAGATTGACAAGTTAAACTCCTTGATTTTGAGTTCATAGATTTTGATGTACCACAACCTAATTTATATTTCTTCATGTTAATCAATACTTGTTCTAAACTTTATTGGTGTCTCTTTTTTTTTTTTTTCTTTTTTTGAATTAATATAATTAAAGAGTAAAAAATAAAATTGTCAAAACTTAAATCTTAAATTTTTAAATGTTATCACACTTTTTAAAAGAGTTATGAATATTATATTACAATAACGATGGACAACTTTATTGATCTTGAGTAAAGTTGATATGGTGAAAGAATGCATTCTACATTATCAGAACTAGTCTTTACTCCCATAATTCCCATTCCATATGTCATACGTCCACATTTAACTTCCCCTTTAGAACTCCACTGGAGAAAAGTGTTGACACAAGGAGGGTTCACCCTCAATGCAATTCAAATCTTATCTTTTCCATAGCCTATTTTCAAAGAAGAATAAAAAAAAATAAAATCTTCTCTTTCTATATATGGGCTCCAGTGGTTAGAATCTCTTAATCTCAAAGTTCTGATGATTGGAGTGTAAAAGAACATTGGAAAGAGTCATTAACAAGCTTTTGCATCCTTCTAATGAGTGATGGAAGGATTTCCTTTTTCTTTTCTTTTTTTTTTTTCTTTGAAAGGCCAATAAAAGGAATTCTAGTACCCAAAAAAAAAAAGATAAAAAGATTTTAAAGTATTTTGAATTTTGATAAGTTTTGACATTATATATACAATTGGTAACGATGGAAAATGGTAATAATATATGAACAACCTATTTATATAATTTTTATTTACAAATTTTACATGTCATTAAATATATATAATACATTATAAGTTTTAATAAAGTAAAAAGAGTCATCATCAAATGATATATAATCATCAAATAATATATAAAGTTGTACCAAAAAAAAAAAGTTTCATAAAAATGTTGTTTCTCAAGCATTTTATTATCTGAACAACCTTTATATACAATTTTTATTTATAATAGTTCTTATGTATCATTAAATAAATATATGCTTATTATACCATATGTCTTAGTAAGATGCAAAAAGCCAATCATGACATGTAATGTTACATAAAAAAAGTCATATAAAAAATTTCTCTCGATCATTTTGCATTTATGATTGTTAGGTAAACTAATTGAAGGTAATGATTTGCCTCTTTTGGGTTTTTTAAGTGATTAAAAGTTCATAATTTCAAATTAGAGATATGAAGTTCAAATCTCAACAAAGAAAAGAAGGATTAAGCGAGAAGTTTAACAAAGAAAAGAAGGATTAAGAGAGAAGTTTAAGGGAGGAGAGCACTATCAGCCTATCATTTGATACCAAGAAGAAAAAAGTTGGGTGGAGAGGTTAATTCCCTTAAAAGATGGGCTAAAAAACTTGGATCATTGTATGTTTGATGGCTTAATTTATAATTTAGCCTGAGAAAGTAACACTCGAACTTGAGATTCAACTCTCCACCCAGACTGCTTCATTTTCCTTCCATTTTGCACTCATTGAGAAACAAAAATATTAAAACAACGAAACAAGATGAAAATGACAGGAAAAGAAAAAAAAA